AAAGGCTTTCACAAATAAAAAATTTTATATTAATAAAAAAATATTAAATAAGAGAAAATTGACCGAACCTTATCCAATACGACCCGTCAATACACTACTATAAATACCTTCTGGGTTGAATTAACAATTTAGTATAGAACCAGAGATAACCGAACGTGAGAGAAATAAATAAACCGGAGATAACCGAAGATTGATTCAATGGCAGACATAGCGCTTTTGGTCGTGGAGGAGTACGAGAGGAGGGTGAAACAGACGCCGGATTCGACATCGGCATCGACGGAAATTGATTGGTTGAAGAATTTTCCGGCGAAGATGACGGTGGGAATCGAGAAGATGAAGATAGAAAATTTGATGAAGAAATTTGAGGCGAAATCTGAATTTGGTCTCGCAATCTCCCATGGCTTCTTCTCTGCTTGATTCCATTTTGTTTATATGGCTTATTTCGTTTCTTTATAAATCTCTGTTTTTTTTTTCTTTGCTTTTTGGGGTTTTTAATGTAAATATAAACTATATGTGTAACTATATCTGAATTAATCAAATGTAATTTTCTGTTTATCTAAATATGACTTTGTCTTCTCCGGCGAAATCACTCAGAGTAGAAGAACAAATTCCAGGGACTTCATTGTATACGTAGAGAACTTCTGGGGGAGAATTGTAAAATTTTTAAACTTCATCATCCTTATTCTGTGTTGCGAAAATTCGGCGTAAATATTGCAATTCGACCCCTTAAATTCCGGGTTTCTCTTAAAAGAAGTATCATAATAGTTCTTTCCGTACAGAATTGATCTTGTTTTTTTCCGGGAAGATTATAAAATCAGTTATAAACTCCATAGTTGCTTAATCCAAAACCTTTGAGAGCTTTAAGAATGGGAAGCATCGATGAAACGCCAGTGGTTCTCATCACAGGATGCTCTCATGGAGGAATCGGTTACGCGTTGGCTCGTGAGTTCTCGGCGAATGGTTGTCGTGTGGTGGCGACGAGTCGATCTCAGAGCACCATGACCGATCTGGAGAAAGATCCGAAGATGTTTGTGGAAGAGCTCGATGTTCAATCGGAGCAGAGCGTGAGTAAAGTTTTGTCGAAAGTTATCGACAAATTCGGTCAGATCGATGTTCTGGTCAATAACGCCGGAGTTCAATGTATCGGTCCTCTCGCGGAAACTCCAATTTCCGCCCTGGATAACACCTTCAACACCAATGTGTTCGGTGAAATGACAAATCCTTCGAATTCCCTTTAATGATCACCAAGTGTTTGTTAAAATTCCTGACTCAATTTTTGTCTGATTTTGCTCTTCCTTTGAATGACTTTAACTCGATGTGATCGGTCTGGTGATTTGGGCTGTGACAAATTACCTTAAAGAACTTAACTTTTTGAAGAAATTTGCAGGTTCCATGAGGATGACTCAAGCTGTTGTACCTCACATGGCGTCTAAGAAAAAAGGAAAGATTGTGAACATAGGAAGTATTAGCATAATGGCACCAGGACCATGGGCTGGTGTTTATACTGCATCAAAAGCTGCTCTTCATGCTCTTACCGATACATTAAGGTTTTCGATTTCAGAAAATCTTCTTCATCAGATTGATCATATCATCTAAAACACTAACTTGTTTAATGTTTTGTCTCTCCTCTGAAGGTTGGAGCTTAGGCCATTTGGGATTGATGTAATCAACATTGTCCCAGGAGGTATTCAGTCAAACATAGCCGATTCTGCGATATCGAGCTTCAACAACTTACCTGAACTGAAACTATATAAACCGTTCGAAGCAGCGATCCGTGAGAGGGCGTTTTTGTCGCAAAACATAAAGCCAATACCTGCAGAGACGTTTGCGAAACAGACAGTATCCGTGGTGCTAAAGAAAAACCCACCGGCTTGGTTTTCTACAGGAAGGTTATCGACCGTAATGGCGATCATGCACCATATGCCCATCTTCGTCAAAGACTTTCTATTGACTAAGAGCTTTATGAAAAAAGGAGCAAAAATTGAGTAGCAATCTTTGTTTGAATGTATCCAACAAGTGAATTGTTCCCTAACTCCATGTGAAGGAATTACTTTGGCAGTTGGCACAAGATTTGTATGGCAAAGTGATAAGGTTTCTACAAGATTTGAAACAGTAAATAGCTTGATGTGATCTAACAATGCATTATCAGGATATAAGAGTTGTCAGAACTATAACAAAAGCTTACCATTCCCAAAGCTGAAAATGGTGTGGAAAATCCATAATGTTTTATGAAAAAAATCAGTAATTTATTTACAACACAAATAAACATTTTCAGTATATTCCGATTTTCTTTATAAAAAAAGATTACAATTCAAAATGATTAATTACATACTAAAAATTCACTTGCACAACAATATTAGTAGGAAATTACAATGCTTATTAAATAACTTTTTAGATAGATATGTCTTTAATTGCATGAACTAATTCATTCAGTATTCCATGGTCCACCCATATTAATTTACGGTCAAGGTTTTCGAAATATAAAAATTGCCTAAGTT